CTCCGACGCAGCCCGTGTGATTCCTCTGTGGCTTTACGATTAACTGGCCCAATTAACAGACGACAAGTGGTCGCAAAGAGACAGACAGAGAAAGGTTATGTGACTGCATATACATATATATGTAGAAAGAGAGAGAGAGAGAGAGCCCATGTGACTGAATGACGTCCTCTTGGTCACGACAGCGTCGCCTGCACGTGCACGAAAGGCGAGATCTTCGGAAGGCCGAGAGATCCTGTTGATTGCCCCGTCGATTAACCCCGTTGATTACCCCGTCGATTACCCCATCGATTCCTTCGATTCACTTTGATTTCCCCGTGATGCGCACGGTACGCCGAGATTCGCAATCTGGTCAGAGAACGGAGAAATTCCGCACCGAAGCGCAACTTCTTGGCACCATGATGACGTGGCACGCGCACACACAGAAGAGGCGATCATAGCAAGACTGTGATTGACCAGTGGTGATTACCTCTACGTGGCGCACCGTCGATTTCAATTGAATTGGATTGAAAAACGCTGACGCTGTTCACAGTCCTTCCCCGCATCGATTGGCGACCAATAAATCAACCAATCCAAGAAAATCCAATCAATCAATCAATCCAGTACAATCCAATCAATCAGCCAATCAATCGAAATCGACAATGATTGTGAGACCGAGAAACCAATCCCTCCTTGCTCCTCCGTATCGCGTTAGAGATCAATCAGCGGACCGATACACGATAAATAGACACGTGGCGTGCGGTGGGTGCATCTTCGCTAACGCCACGTGGACATCCCGCTCAGGGATCTGAGAACGTACAACCGGGTACTCAGATCCCGATCAGGTCGACTTCAGAGAGGGTCCGCGAGCAATCGCGCACTCGTTCCAGGATTTTATCTCCCCTGAATGTATGTGGCCACCATTGAAGCGATAGTCGTACCGGGATTGTGCCCTCTGAGAGAAGCAATCCCATCATCCCACGAATCGCCATGACTTCAGGAGTATACCAATTTGCGAGACGATAAAAGACGGGTCGCCACGTGGCCAATCATCTACTCCTGTCATCTCTCCCACTAATTAGTCCGTTACATCAATCAACAGCCGGACGCTAAGCGCGCCGTTTCAGCGACTTCCGATGACCTGGCGAAGGGGGAACGCACATCCACTAACGTGGCGCGCAGGTGGCGCGCAAGTGGCGCGCAAATGGCGCTGAAGTGGCGCGCAGACCTCGCCGCAATTCACGTCTCCGGACTTTGGAATATCAGTTCTGCTGACGTGGCACACCCATGACAAGGAATTCGGTCACTGGTGACTGATAATGTCCTCGTCGACGACGATGACAATGGACAGCATATGGATGATGTCACGGCGCGCAGCGGGCTACACAGAACGTTTCAGAGGGCGACTGCGGTTGATTAGCTCTGCTGACGCGGCGCAGCCATTGATGGTTGGCGCAGCTGGCGACACGTGGCACGTGATGACGCGGCAGAATGGCGATTCGCAGAGGTCGACTTTCGAAGTTCAGCACTGCTGACGTGACCCACTCATGCCGAGGCACGTGGCCGCTGATGACGTCAACGTCGACGCCGACCGGAGGACATTGATGACGAGGCGCGTCGGCGGCGCAGGGCGCGCAACGCGTGGCACATTTTCCCGACCAAGGACGGCGGAATAGCCAACCCCAACCTTATTACCCCTTCTGCTAAGGGAGGTGGGGGGGGGGGGGTAGATTAGATAGATGACATGTGAGGGCTGATTGGCTCTGAAAAGACGACAAAACACTTGGGCGCGTCTCTTTTGCTCCTTGGGGACTTCCGTTTCGGGAAAGCGAGCGTACGGACGCAGCCGTTGGACTCTACGAACGTGGACGACATCCTCGATAACGGTATGGGCGCGTATTGGGGGGCCGAAGGGAACCGTCATTCAGGCTAAATACATCCTGATTGACAGTGCGAAAAGTGGGTCACAGTCCAGCCTGAGAGCCAAAACAGCAACATCACTTTTCTCGAAAAAAACAAAAAAAAAAAACAGCAACATCTATGTATGTATCTGTGTGTAACTGCCACCAGCCAGTGGTTAGCAGAGCACTATTTTTCCTCTCCGCAGAGCCTCTGGGCGAGGTCCCACTAAGCCTCTTATGGATTCTGAAGATCAAATATCGAATTTTTGGCCCACTGAAGGTCTCCGGCCCGAGTCCGGGCAAACCTTTTCTTTCTTCTATCAGCAGAGCCTCTGGGCGAGGTCCCACCAACCCGACTCTACTGTTCGAGTCTTGTCGGAAACAGGTGAAAAGAAAAAACCACTGAACAGTCCACAGATGCAACTGTTGATAAATTGTCTACAGCGTGAGCGTGGGGAAAGCAGCCCTAAGGTAGCCAAAGCAACTGGACAAGGGTGCATCCAA